CAGCAGACAGCACCCCACAGCTCTACATGCTGCCTGGCTCCCACCTCAGTGCCTCACCCCTTTATCCGTCTTCTGTCCAAGAGCCTTAAGGCAGAAGTCTCTCAGGTTCCCATAGAGATCAGAAATCAGTTCCTTGAACTGCACATCATAGAAGAGGTTGGCCCGGAAGCAGGGAGTCTTGAAGGTGGCAACTGGTTGCTTCAGGTGCAGGGCAGCAAACACATCCTCTTGTACCTGCGGGGTGGCTGTAGCAGTCAGAGCCACACATGGGGTACGTCCCAGGCGGGAGCGCAGGGTGCCCAGACGCAAGTAATCAGGACGGAAGTCGTGCCCCCACTGGGAAACACAATGAGCTTCATCTACCACCAAGTAAGAGAGCAGGTGGCGGGACACCAGGGAGTTCAGGGTAGGCTGAAAGGAGGCCGAAGCTGCCATCTCTGGGGTAATGTACAGAAGCCTGGTCTGGGGCTTTTCTCGCTCCAGGTCAGAGAGCAGCTCCTTCCTTTCCTGCGCCGAGAGTTTTGAGTTCAGGGAACTCACTTGTACCTTCAGAGTGAGCAAGTGGTCTACTTGGTCCTGAGGGCAGAAGGGATAAAAGTCATAGATAAAAGCATAATTGGCCCTCAGGACTCAGGTACACATCATTGCAATTCCCTGAGGGATTTCCCATGGTATAATGTCCTCCCACCCTCCAATATGTCTTCTCTTTGCACAGAAGTATAGGCTGAGTATCCCTTGTCCAAAATTCTTAGGGCCAGAAGTATTTTGGATTTCAAATATTTTGGGGTTTTGGAATATTTATACATACATTATGAGGAATCCTAGAGATAAGACCCAAGTTTAAACGTGAAATTCACATTTCATAAACACCTTATACACATAGCCTCCAGGTAATTTTATATTTTTTTGCATAATTAACATCCTGAAAATTAATTTAATATTTTTAGTCATTTTCTGCATAAAATTTTTTTTGTTTTGACTGGACTTGTTTCCCAAGAGGTCAGGTATAGAATTTTCCACTGTGGGGAGGCACCCGTAGCTCACGAGTAGGGCACTGGCCATGTACACCAAGGGTAGCAGGTTCAAGCCCAGCTCGGGCTTGCTAAACAACAATGACAACTGCAACCAAAAAACAGCCAGGCATTGTAGTGGGCACCTGTAGTCCCAGCTACTTGGGAGGCTGACACAAGAGAACAACTTAAGCCCAAAAGTTTGAGGTTGCTGTGAGGTGTGACGCTATGGTACTCTAGCCAGGGCAGCATAGTGAGACTCTTGTCTCAAAGAAAAAAAAAGAATTTTCCGCTGTGATATCAAGTGTCAGCACTCAAAAAGTTTCAGATTTCAGATGTTCAGATTAGGGATGTCCAACCTGTACAGAAGGTGAAGTATTTAAGCACAGGCTCTTAAGTCAGACACACCTCGACTTAATCCTGCCTCGCTTAATCATAACTTGCTCTCTGGTTGTTTTTTAACTGCTAAAACTCAAGTCTTCTTTCTTCCTTTTTCTCTCCCTTTCCTTTAAAAAATAGTAACTATCTAATAGGATTGTTATGTGAATTAAATTAAATATTACATCTCAATAATAAAACGAATGTATATAAGGGCTTGGCGCCTGTGCCTCAAGTGGCTAAGGCACCAGCCACATACACCTAAGGTGGCGGGTATGAATCCAGCCTGGGCCCGCCAAACAACAATGACAGCTGCAACCAAAAAATAGCCAGGTGTTGTGGCGGGCACCTGTGGTCCCAGCTACTTGGGAGGCTGAGGCAGGAGACTCGCTTGAGCCCTGGCGTTGGAGGTTGCTGTGAGCTGTGATGCAACAGCACTCTACCTAGGGGGATAGCTTAGGGCTCTATCTCAAAAAAAAATTTTTTTTAAATAAATAAAAAATAACGTATATAAGGCATTTAGCACAAAGTTTGAAACCTGTAAACATTCACCACATATTACTGTTGTTCCCTCTCTACCTTTCTTTTTGGTGGCTGCATCTTAACCACATGGCCACACTTCCTCAATTCTGACTCTAACAGCTCATCTGGAGAGCAGATGTTAACAAGGTCTCAACCAGTTTCTTATCTTTTCTTCTGTCTCACATACTGTGCCAAGGACATAAGGGATTCCTCATGTCAATTTATCTATCTATCCATCTGCATCTTCTATCCAACATCAGGAGTACACAGGTGTATACATGTGACAGTGAGTATGTATGTTTGTACAACTACAGTTTCATAGTCCTCTGGACAAAAAGTACACAAACAAGGGTGAGGGCCTCAGGCCATCAAAACATAGAAGACTCATTCATAACCCACCAGAGTTATATGCACTAGTGGAGACCCCACATCTGGGCAATTCAGAAACCCCATATAGACAGTGAAATAGGCAAATCAGAGAAAGTAAGAGGCAAAAGAGCAAATAAAGAAGTGAAAATTCCAGCTATAAAAAAAAACCTTTCTGGCTCGGTGCCCATAGCATAGTGGTCACGGTACCAGCCACATACACTGAAGTTGGCAGGTTCAAACCCAGCCCAGGCCAGCTAACCAACCAATGACAAATGCAACGAAAAATAGCCGGGTGTGTGGACACCTGTAGTCCCAGCTACATGGGAGGCTGAGGCAAGAGAATCGTTTAAGCCCAAGAGTTGGAGATTGCTGTGAGCTGTGACACCATGGCACTCTACTGAGGGCAACATAGAGAAACTCTGTTTCAAAAAAAAAAAACAAAAAAAAACCTTTCCTTAATCTTTTTGGGCTTATCATCTTCATTCCCCTTTCTCACCTGAATCAAGGCAATGAGAGGTGAGACTACAAGGGTGATGCCTTTGGTCAGCAATGCAGGGAGCTGATAGCAGAGGGATTTTCCTGCCCCTGTGGGCATACACACAAAGACATCCTTGTCACCTGCAAAAATATAAGAAAACATCTCAATGCTTCCTGCCCTTTCAAAGCACTTGGCACAGTGTCTGGCACATGAGAGGGTCTTGATATTAATTTCCTTCCCATCATTTCATTGAAAAGGGCAGGGATCCTGGCAGACTTGGAAATGTTCACATGCCCTTTCCAGTAATGGTAATATAATAGAAGCAAGGGTAGAGAAGTCTGAGTCTGCTGAGATATACTTGATTGAACCAAACAGCTATAGAAGCAGAATACTGCTTGATGAATGGGGATATCTGTGTAGACATGGAAGGACATAATTTATAGGCCTTTTGTTTATAAACATATCATTAATATTACAGTTACTGCTCCCCTCTTGTTCACCTCCATTTGTCGCATCTCAGGTTTATAATATTACTCCTCTTTTTTGGAACCCAAGACACATCCCCAATCTTTAACAAGGGGATGACCCAACAGGGATCCTCAAACTTTTTAAACAGGGGGCCAGTTCACTGTCCCTTAGACCGTTGGAGGGCTGGACGGCTGGCCTGGGACGAGTCGGTGGCTAAGCAGGACAGGCAGCGGCAACAAAAACACCGGGCAGGCAGGATAAATGTGGCCCGTGGGCCATAGTTTTAGGACCCCTGATAGAAGGTTAGTGGGTTAAGCAATTCAAGCCACCCTCACTATAGCCTACACACAAAAGAACAATAATGGCAATCTGCAAACTATTTTCAAAGACAATTTGCAGGTCTTAGTATGAAATGTAAGAAGAACAGTTTGGTGCTTTGGCCATTAAAACTACAAGCTTTAGGGCAGCGCCTGTGGCTCAGTGAGTAGGGCGCCGGCCCCATATACCGATGGTGGTGGGTTCAAACCCTGCTGTGGCCAAACTGCAACAAAAAAAATAGCCGGGCATTGTGGCAGGTGCCTGTAGTCCCAGCTACTTGGGAGGCTGAGCAGGAGAATCGCCTAAGCCTAAGAGCTGGAGGTTGCCGTGAGCTGTGATGCCACAGCACTCTAACGAGGGCGACAAGGTCTCTTAAAAAAAAAAAAACACACACTACAAGCTTTGAGTTACAAAAAAAAAAAAAAAAAAACACTACAAGCTAAAAGATTTCCAAAACCAATTATGAAGCAAGGGTAGGGAGGTAGGAGGGGTCAGAAGGATGTTCACTTGCAGTATTATGGTATAACCAGCACAAATTTAAAGGCAGGTAGCTTGGTAATGTTACCTTTTACTACAGCCATGGTCGCACTCTTCTGCAAAGGCGTCTTAAAAGAGTCAAACCCAAAGACCTTCTTCAATGTGCTCTGGACTCGCCGCTCAGTGTCAAAAGAAAAGGAGGAAGGGTGGACGCTCATCTTATCGAAAAACAGTGGCCAACGGTTAAGGTAAACGTAAAAGGTTGCCACAAATACCCTTTGTTCTGCTTTTAAAATACAGCTTACTTTTCTCTGTGAGTAAAAATGTAAACTTTATTACCCTTAAATAATATATTATTTTCAATTAATAAAGTTGCAGATGAAAGGCCTCAAGCAATACATTCCTGGTTAATTACCATCTCCACTCAGTGAAAATAAAAATACTGAACTGTCTCAGACCACAGTACAGCAGGGAACTAGAAATCAGATGTCTTCGGAATAGTTTGGAGAATGTGGTATTGTCTTTCTAGGATCCACCTTCTGCTCTTTCTTCTATAAGAGCAGTAATGATCATTTTTCTCCCGCTCCCCCACCCCAGGACCCGACTCCTCTCTCTTCCTCTGAGCCCGCAATTTTCTCCCTTGGCCAATCGACGCCTCTGTCTCTTCACTCCAAGATATCAGTGCCGGCCATGGGCTACTCAGGAATGCAGGGTTCTTGCTGGGCCTATGCTGTCAGCTGGCTCCGAAACTACAGGAAGATTCCTCCAACTCTGAGAAGCCAGAAACCGCAGAGATAAGAGTTAAGTAGAACCCCCACAACTTTATAGCGGTCGCTCAGTGATGACGTCGCGCGAGCGCTGTCAAGAGGGGCGAGGCCAGGCGCAGACGCAGCAATTTTGATTGGTTTCCAATCTGGCGCGCGGTCTCCTGGGATCCGGAAGAAATTACCTTTCTGCACGGAAGTCGGCTACATTTAAGTCATTGGAGTGAGCCACGCTCAGGTTGTGGGAATAAAATGGCGGGGAAGAAGAATGTTCTGTCGTCTTTGGCAGTTTACGCAGAAGATTCAGAGCCCGAATCTGACGGCGAGGCCGGAGTCGAAGCGGTGGGCAGCGCAGCTGGTGAGGCCTGAGTGGAAAGCTGAAAGGGGGAATCGGGTGTCTGCTTGGAACGTTGCCTGCCTAGCGGGACAGGAGGAAAGAGTGGTCTTTATGCTCCCAAGTAGCGGGCCCCGAAGCGCCGTCGGGGTTCTGGGTGGGATAGAGCATTAGAGATTCTGTAGTAAGAATGAACCGTATCCTTACCAGTGTTATGATTATTCTGCCGAAACTTAATTGTAGTCTTTTTGTGCTGAACATCATAGTGGCAGAGATGGCAGAGAGATGGACAAAGAGATTCATGGCTGCTATTCCTTTTGGGCTCGTTGTTCAGATGGGAGAGAGCAATGAATGAAACATAAGTGGAGGGTGATAAACCTTGTATTTTGTTAAGCTTATGACTTTTTAATTAGGAATGTGTCTTAAATGAATCTTCGAGCTTTTAAAAAATAAATATATCTGGTCTCCATGGGGCGGCGCCTGTGGCTCATTGGGTAAGGAGCGGCTCCGTATACCGAGGGTTGAGGGTTCAAACTCCGCCCCGGCCAAATTGCAACAAAAAAATAGCCGAGCCTGTGTCGGGTGCCTGTAGTCCCAGCTACCTGGAAGGCTGAGGCAAGAGAATCGCCTAAGCCCAGGAGTTGGAGGTTACTGTGAGCTATGTGACTCCATGGCACTCTACCGAGGGCGATAAAGTGAAACTATCTCTACAAAAATAAATAAATAAATACATCTAGTGTCCAAATTGAGAGAATGTATTTTGGAACATCTGGAACAGAATATGGCATTTGTGAACTCTATGAGACTCCCGGTTGATTCTGTTACTCTGTGAGTATGTAAAACTTATTGGTGACTTTTGTTGTCCTCAAGTTGACAACCGCAAAGTTAGGAAATGAGAATGGATTTCTTTGGGAGAATATGTATAGAGAGAATAAGTTACCTAGTATATTTAGATTTCGGTTTCTTCCTCTGGATAGTGAGGGGTGTTGAGTTAGATTAGATACTCATTTTTTTTTTTTTGAGACAGAGTCTCACTATGTCACCCTTAGTAGAGTGCGGTGGTGTCACAGCTCACAGCAACTTCAAACTCTTGGGTTCAAGAGATTCTCTTGCCTCAGCCTCCCACCTAGCTGGGACTACAGGCACCCACCACAACACCAACCTATTGTTTTCTTATAGTTGTCATTGTTGTTTGGGCCAGGTTCAAACCCTCCAGACTCGGTGTATATGCGGCCGGTGTTATAACCACTGAGCTACCAGTGCGGAGTCAAATACTCATATTTTTTTGTTCTGTATGGTATCTTCCAATCAGAAGGGTCTCTCATGGTTTTCTAGTACTATGTGGTGTTTTTATTGTTTTTTGTTTTTTGTTTTTTGTTTTTTTTTTAGACGGAGCCTCAAGCTATCCCCCTGGGTAGAGTGCCATGGCATCACGCTCACAGCAACCTCC